TATATACAAAATCAACCACATTTTCCATCATATAAGCATTTTATTTTTTAAAAGGTTCAAACAGGCAAACAACACAATTTAGAAATGTGCAAAAAATGATGGCATCTGATAAACAGACACTTCATCAAAAAAGATGTACAGACGGCATCTAAGCATATGAAAAGCTGATCAGCACTGTAGGCCACTAGGGAACTGCAAACTAAAATGAGGTACTGCTACACACCTATTAAAATGACAAAAATTTAAAACACTGAAAACACCAAATGTTGATGACAATGTGAAATAAAGAAATTCTTCCATTGCTGGTGGGGATGTGAAATAGTATAGCCACTTTGGAAGACAATTTTGGCGGTTTTTTTTTTTTTTTAATAAAACTAAACGCTCTTGCCACACCATCCAAAATTGTGCTCTTTGGTATTAACTCAAATGAGTTAAAAACCTGCAGTCATGAAAAAAACTATCAGGAAACTGTAAGTCAAAGATGCTCTTTGTATTTTCTTCGTAATACCATAACTAGAAAGCAGTCATGATGTCTGTCAGTAGATGAATGTTTTAACCATGGTACATCTAGGCAATGTAATACTATTTCTGTAAAAGAAATGAGCTACAACAACATGAAAAGGTAGGCAAGAATGCAAGAACTTTAAAATAAATATGCCCAATTAAAAAGGTCAATCTGAAAAAGGCAATATACTGTTTGACTCCAACTATAAGACATTCTGGAAAGGCAAAACAATGGTGATAGTAAAAAGATCACTGGTTGCCTGAAGTTGGGGGTGGGGGGGGAGTGGAGAGGGATGAATAAGTGGAGCACAGAGAACTTTCAGAAACTGCTCGGTAGGATACTGTAATGGTAGATACATGTATGCCATCATACATGTATGAAAACCCAATGATACACAACAGAAAGAGTGAACTTTAATGAAAATGACAGGCTTTGGTTGATAAAAATGAGTCAATATAGGTTCCCTGATGGTAAACTGATTCTGGTGTGGGATATTTACTGTGAATAACTGTGAGGAGTGGGGGTGGGTGAGTGGGTGGAAAAGGGATATGCAGAAACCTGCACTTTTGCTCAGTTTTGTTGAGAACAAAAAATAAATGTTTTTTAAAGCAGAACCGACAGATGTAACACAAAAGTAAGTTGGTGTCCACACACCCCAATCTCAGCATCCTACTCCCCAGAGGCATAAGGTTAATAAAAGCCTCTGTGCTTTTTAAAAATTTGTATATATATGCAAAGTAAAAAACTAGATCTTATAAAAAAACTAGTTCCCATAGTATCCTCTGCCACCTTCTTCCTTTTCATAACTGAATCAACTAAGTTGTGACAGAGGACACTCTTGATTTCCTAGCAACATGTCTCCTAATCTCTCTTGCAACTAGGTGGGGCCACAAACAACTTTCCAACCACAGAAAATGAACAGAAGTCCTGTAAGCTCATAAGAGGAATGTGCTTCCCCTCCATTTCTCTGTGGGCTGAAAAGTGCTTATGATGCTCTGAGCTGGCAGCAGGTCTAGAAGTTTTGAGTGCCATGGACTTTTTTGACAGTCTGGTGATGCTAGAGACCCCTTCTCACACTAATGTATTTAAATTTCTCATTTTGTGGGGGTGGAGTGGGGAATGGGATCAAAAACGGGGGGGGGGGGGAAATGCAAGGAACTACGGTGATGGCACACAGGTGACTTGGTGATGGGAAACCCGCGGGGATTACAATTGAGATGGGAAAAAAAATGATGTAAAAATAAACTTTCTAAAATAAAATTAAAAAAAAAGAGGCTGTCTCTAGTGGCACAAGGGGCTAAAGCGCAGCACTATGAAGGAATCCGAGGCCAAAGCAATACCAGTTAGATCTCCTGCCTGGGAGGTGATCCACAAGGTGCAGCAGATTCCCCTCAGCAGTGTATTTCAGTCAATCTGCCTGTCCTGCTCCCTACTCTGTCTCTAGTGAATCCTCTCACCCCCTGCTTCTTAGTGCTGTGCTTTAAGCCTCAGCACCACCAAGGAGGATCCTGTTTCAACAGCTTAAGACAAGTGCTAACTGGTACATGTCTGTACTTATTTAAAAAATCAAATGGAGTTACACTGAAAATACAGCTAGAGAATCAATATGTGAGGTGGTAATGAGCTGGCTCTCAAAGCTAAATTCTTTAGTTTTAATTCCAGCTCTGCAACTTCATGCTGAGTGGACTTTGGACTAGTTACTTAACCTCTCTTGAGTTTGTTTCCATAGCTGTAAAATGGATATAATAATAATGGTTCCTCACTAAAAGGTCACTGACTACTGACACACAGAAAGTGATTTCTTAATCACTACAGAGCTTGGCTTACTATAAACTCTCCATAAATGTCAGCTAGCATTACTATTATTACTATGACTATTATTGTTGTGATCCTTATTTTTTCTCACCAGCTTACATATCATTTCATACAGGATAAATAGATCTATCTTTGATTTTCAAAATCTATATAACAATGTACTGAATGAAAATGCCAAAATTCATTTATCAGTCTTCAATTATAAAGTGATTGCTTAGAATGTTTCTCAAAGTTTTACTTAAAAAGTTAATGCCAATTAAAGAGAAAGCTCTCTGACACTATTTTACCAAACCTATTGTCATTTTGCATCAACTTTACTAAGTTCCTATATATATATACACATTTTAAATACAGTTTGGTGAGCTCGGTAGCATTCTGTTAGAATAAGACTATGAATATAAGACAGCATGAAAAAGTTGAATTATAGAAAATGCAAGGTATTACTATTATAAGAGATAAACTGTTCACTTTTCATTGATTGAAATGATCCTGTCCTGAAACAATGCTGTGAGGGGCACCTCAATAGCTCTTTTTCAGGCAATGCCCTATATTTCTGTCTGACAGCGCACCCCTTTCCCACCTAACCCCTTGGGCTCTGGTAACAGACCTATTATGGGAACAGACCAGAGGTCTTTGGCACAATGAGATGTGATCAAGTACAAAGGACCCAACCTGAACCAATGAGATGCAAAGTGACCTTTGTTGGTGTCTGTAAGAAGCATACCCACTACTCTTTGGCTGTTGACCTTGGAGTGACACACACTGGTCACTGGGTGCAAGCTGCCTCTGGGAGGAGCAGGCCTTGGGTAAAGCCCTTCTCTTCACTCTTTTGTGGCAGCTCTCTCTTTTGTAGGGCATTGCACCTACAACTAGGAAATGAGTTCTGCAATCTAGAACAGGTAGAGCACCACAGCATCCATTATATCTTCAAGTCTTCTTTCAGTTTATTTTATTTGTGTCTCTTTTTACTTTAGAAATTTAGGTCATATATGAATGTTGCTTTATAAGCTGATGTATTTTTTAGACTAACATTACATTCTGAGACTTCCAATCATTAACGTTTTTATTTATTTACTTGTTGACTTACTTGTTTACTTCATTAATTTATGAATTTTATGAATTTTGTTTCATTAATTATGAATTTTAATTTATGGATTTATTTTTTAAATTTTTCTAAAATAAATTCATTACATCAGCCTTCATTTTTTTATAATGTATGATTCCCCCGTGCACGTCACTGTAGTCCCTTGTGCTCTTCCCACCCCAGTCCTGATCTTCTCCTTCTTCCTCCCCTAAGGAATGTCTTTGATCTATAGTTGCTTAGTGGTTTTGAGTTTTTAAATGAATGTATGATACTTACAGATTCCTTATGACAGATACTGTAAAGCATTTAAATATTATCTTACTGCTAGACATTTAGAGTATTTTAAATTCTTTAGTGCTCACATATAAATTTTTACTTTCACCTCTGTAACAAGTTTCTTAGGATATATTTCTTGGAATGAAATGAAAGAATGAAAGGTATGAACTACTTTAACATTCTGATCAAATTGTCATTGAAATTAAAAGTTTATATCAATTTACATTCTGACTTGTATTTCATTAAAATTGAATGCTTCTATATTTTAATTCTTGCCAATTGACTAAAATGGTGTCTCCCATTTTGCTTTAATTTACCCTAACTACCAATAAAATGGAATATTATAAAATATCTATTGATTTTTTTTCATCATATACAGTCATGCAGTTTTCTTGGTTAGTTTTTCTAGATAATAAATGATGATCTTATGTATTATTAAACTACATTATGTATTAAATATACAAACCTTGTGTTTGCCATATTTGTTAAAAATATTCTTCTGTTTTTAATATTTTAATTAAATTAGCATACTTCAAACATTTTATATAGTAAAATAAATCTTGTTTTTTTTCTTCTACATTCTTAGAAGACTTTCCCATTCTGTTAAATGACACAGAACAATCTTCACTCATACTGCTTGTCTACAACTCAATATTCTTCCTCTGACTGAGTGAAACTCCCAGTAATATAAATTCATACTAGCACACACCTATAACTGGAACTCTGACCACAGTGGAAATTTTACTTTTGGGAAGCATTTATAAGCTTTGAAAGGACAGGGACCATTTTACATGTAGTTCAGCATTGTACTTAATCTAGCATGGTAGATTCACTTTCTAATTTTTTATGTTTTTAATATCTATTTTTACCTCTTGTATCACCTGGGATTCTATTTTACTACAGAACGTTTCCATCTTTATTTTGTCCCACTATTTACAGAATAGCCCTTTCCTTCTCTAACTTTGGGGCACAAACTTTATCACATATATCTGCAATGCAACATAACTGTACACAATAACACACACTAATTTCTTATTATAGTGGGATCTGTGGAGGAACTCAAATGTTGTATTATTCTACCTACTGAGTTTGTCAACATGGGATTGTGTTGATTATTGTGGTGTTATATGTTGTTAATATTTGAACACACAGGTGACTTCTCAATATGACCCTTTCCCTAAATTTATTGGTTGATCAAGCGCTCCATCAATGAAATAAATAAATAATTTACTTAAAATAGTAAAGAGGTCCTTGCTTCTCTCTCTCTCTCTCTCTCTAAATTATAGGGTTGCTTTATTGGTTAAAGATGTGCCTGCTTACTTGAGCAATCCAGCCCGATGGAAGACATAGAGATCATGCTCAAGGGTGCAGTTGTTGAAGGGGACCAGCTTCACAAAGTTCTGGATGAGGACAAACTCAGGTGTCAGATGGGGCAGAGAAATGATGCAGAAGTCCTTCTCCTAATATGATTGGAGAACAGGGTACAGGAAAAGAAAACCAAAAATTATTTACCAATAAAATCTCTGCAGTTAAAACACTAAATAATTTGGAGGAAAGTGTGCAAAGCAGAGTATACTCAAGTTAAGCCTTCTGTAATTTGAAAAATAAATCATATCAAATGCAAAGCGATAGGCAAATACAAGAATATGGAGAAAATATCTGCAAGTCTAACTAAAAGTGAGTATTATCAATAATCATAAGCTATTTGGCATTGCTATTGTGTGGAAGCAGATTTTTTGAACTAAAGACATCTGTACTTGTACATTCATTTGTATCTAGGAGTAACTGAGGCATAGTAAAGGCTCTCCTGGGCTGACTAAGAGCTACCACACCAACCACTCTTCTGTGAAATGAGAGGCTAATGCTCTACACCTGTATATTTTGTCATTACATGATCCCAGGATGTGTTTAACCTGGGCAGTGGGTTTATTAGCAGACCTAGGAATTTCCGGCTCTCCATGACAGTGGAAATAGTCACATCTGGCCACTGAATATTCTGAATGTGACCAGTATATCTGAGAAACCGAATGTTCAATTTTATTTCATTGCAATTAATTTAAAACTAAAAATTGATACCCAATTCAGTTATTGGAAAAGTTTTATGTATATTAAGTAGAACATGTCTATGTGCATCTACATACTCAATTGTAAATTACATGAGCTTGAAATACACCTCAAGTATTTCTGAGGGACATATACTTCTTGGATTGAGATGTGATATAATTGTGAAAGGTACACCAGGTTTCAAAAACTGGGGAGAAGAATGTAAAACATCTCATGAATAATTTTTCATCCAGAGTGCATGTTGAAATGATTGTAATTCAGACACTGAGTTAAGTAAAATGTTTCACTAAAACTGGTTTTACCTTTTCTATTCTGCTCTTTTTTAATCTGCTAACAAATTCAGTTATTTATTCAGCTCCATAGGACAGCTATAGGACAGTGCTGCCCTGGCCCGGTTATGCTCTGCACAGTCCACTTGACCCTCTGCCAGGCGCCTGCAGAAGCAGCCTGCTCTTCCCAGAGCTAATTTGTCCCTGTGGGATCTTGCCTCCTTCTGAACCCAGTGAAGGCATTACTTGTGCTAATCAAAAACCCTGGGGATATATGTGCAACCCAAAGGAGTGAATCATTGTTTGACCTTATCTCCTTTCTTTCTAGCTAAATAACACAGCTCCTTTTGGGGAACTTTAGAGTCAAGTTGTTGCAATAATCCAGCTGAAAATAAGGATTGGGTGCCAAGACTCAGCAGTCCTCCTCTGGGAAAAGTCTCTAATGAGTGCTTCAATTTGGATTTGCAGGATTAAGGATGAAGTAATGAAGGTATTTTGTTCCTCTCACCCATATCCTGAGATAAAATAGAATTAACAAGTAAACATGTCTTTTACCTTTTTTAAGCCAGCATTGCTTTTGTAATGCTGAAAATGTGCCTTTCCATGACTACAAAATAGGAATAAATTAAATTTAGTAAAATTACTTCGGGGCATCTTTGCGGAAACAGCCTTTGTAAATCCTACCTTCAGGGTAATCCTACATTGCTTTATAAACTTTGAAATGCCTTAAAAATAAATTTTAAAAATAATGATGGAGAACATTATTGCAAAGCTTTATTATATTAACAAAATGAGGAAATATAATCTGTGATCACTTTCAGGCAACATAATTAAACCATAATTATTTTTTGCTTAGTATAGAGTACCATGGAAAAATAAAATGACAGATACTTTGCTTGCAATTAGTCAATTGAAATACAGTTATTGACTTAACTGATGAAGCTATGGAAAAAAATCTTTATAAAAAACTACCATGTTCCTCAATTGCCTTCCTTCTCAATTTTCTTTAAATAAAGTTATGAGGTTGGTTAGAACCTCCATCCCTTGACAACAATAAAACAAAATATGAAAAACCAGGGCCAGACTGCCCCGAAATGGAGTAGGTCTTTTGCACTTGGAAGTCTATCTTGGCCTCTTTCATCAAAAGTGTAACAGTGGGCTGACCCTTCCTCATCTCAAGCAATGGCAACCAGAAAATTAACCCCTAGCTCCTGTAACAGAATAATACACAAAGAAAGGGGAGGTTCTAGATTCCCTGACTCAGCCAAGGAAGGGTGGAACTGTGTTGGGAAGGGGAGCTAGAGACAAAGAGAAGAAGGAAGGAGGCTGTGAAGATCTCAAGGAGGCACAGAGAGCAGAGACATGTGAAGAAGCTGTGCTGACTTTCTGCCTGGGACTTGGGAGACATGGAAGGAGGCACCTGAAAGAGACAAATGTGGGTGGGAGAGCTGTGGTGGGGGTGAGGCTGACAATCCACTCTTTACCTTGACTTGTATTTTGACTTTTGCTCCTATAGTCCCTTTTCCCCCTTTTTTGTGATTCGCTACTAGAAGGTATCTTAGACTTGTGGCAAAATTTTGGGCCTCAGTGATCCTGCATGTGGCCAGCCCTGTTTGGCTGGGCATTTACCCATGAGGGGGATGGGTAATTTTGGGTGCTTCATGGAGAAAATATTTTAATTATATTCTTTTCTCTATTATACACTAATTATACTAAAATTCCTTTTATTGAAGATCTTATGCACAAGAGTATGTTTTGTCTTATGCACAAGATCACAGAACCCATTTAGAGCATGCAGGTCTGGAGTGCCCCTCAACATGCCTTGTAACATTCCCACTTTCTTACCCTCAGAGAAGGACTATGAGAGCTGAAGGATTCTTTGAGGCAGTACAAGCTATAAAGTCATATAACAGTTTCATTCACTTTCGTATAATGCCTGACATTTTCATTCAGGCATTCTATCTCAATGCTTGACATTACCACCAGTATTCTATTAATAATTTGATTCCAAATCAAATGGTAAAGCTATCTCTAAAAGAAAGGATGCATTAAAAACTATTAAAAGTGGTATAACTGAAGAATTACTGAAAAAAAATTATATTTTATTTCAAATAGGCCGTTTGACCTTGTTTTAAGAGCACAGTGCAGTTCAAACCTCTACATTCATAGCATTTTTAAATGTCTGAAAATGACTGGCCTTTTACTCTTCTGTAACTTCTAGAGCAAATAAAACCAATTACATTACTTAAATTCAGCATGTACTTACAGGAAAAAGACTGAAAACAAAATTCATGAAGTCCAGTGACCTGTAAGCAAGACAATAAGCATTTTCACTAGGTTGAAAGCAAGTACAGCATTGATGTATATTTAAAGAGATTTATGGGTCTCTCTCCCTTAGGCCGTGATTAGCTAACCAATGATCAGAATTTGTGTCTAACTGAACATTATTCAGTTGCAGAAATCATAACCTTTATATGCCAGGAATAAAATATTTTTCTAGATCTGAAGATACCTTACAGCAATCAACATGCTTTGCACATTCAAAAAGGAAGTTAGTCACTCTATGATATGATCTCTCTTTTGGGGGAAGATCTATGAGAGACTTAGATATATTTTAAGCTAATCATATCTTTTTCTCTTTTATATACAAAAGATTTTCTGACCAGCTGTGGAATATATACTAATCAGCAAACCACAATGGGTCATTGAATTTGTGCTTGAAAATTGAAAGATGATATAACAAGTACAATCATATCTGAGTGCACATGGGCAAAATAAACAGAAACAACAAATCTCAGTCTTTTAAATTTCTAATCAGAATGTATTTAAATTATAATCATAATAAAAAGATTCCCTTTTCAATTCCCAATATTTCTTTTTGTTTTAAAGATTTTTTTTATGCATACTGAACCTGGGGTACAGGTCAGAGGTGGCGGGGCAGTGAGAGGATTCACCAGAGACAGAGTGGGAGCAGAACAGGCAGATCGACCAAGTACACTGCTGAGGGGAGCAGCGGGTGAGATGAGAGGTCTGCTGCACCATATGGGTCACCTCCAGGGCTGGAGATTGAACTTGCACTGAAGCAGCTGCTGTGGCAGGCAGTGCTGTGCCCTAATCTGTTGTGCCGCCAGGGAGAGCACTCAACTCCCAATATTTCTAAAGGAATGAAAAATAAGAGGAAAAAAAGTAGGACGATTCTAAGGAAGGCTGTGGAGACTGGGAATATGTTTAAATACATCCTCTAGCAAGGAAATATCTGGCAGTGTTCTTGTTAATCTGAAAGATATTCCAGAAACTTCAGGCAATAGAAAGGTTCCCTGCGCCACAAAGGGAAGGATGGAGCTGAGCACCAAGAAGATAGAAAAGAACAGTAGGAGACCTGGAGGAGGCACATGGGGCAGAAAGACAGGTGAAGAAGCTGCATCTGCTTCTCAGCCTTGGACTTGTACCAGGGATGTGCGGGACATGGAAGGAGCCACTTCAAGAGGTACCTTTGAGAGACCAGTGGGGAGGCTGACAACGGCAATCGTTATCTTGATGTATGTTTTGATTTTGCTCTTTTTCTGCTAGACTTGTCTGACCCCTTCTATCTTTTCCTGATGGGTCCCCACAAGAAGATGCCTTAGCCTGTAGCAAGACTTTAGGCTTCAGCTGCCCACTTTGGACCAACCCTAACTGGCTGGGCATTTACCCATGAGAGTAATTGGAGTTCATTTGGAAACTATTTCAACTATATTCTTTTTCTTCTATTGCACACTAATTGTATTAAAGTTCTTTCCTACTGAAGGTTTTATGTACTAAGAGTTATGTTTGTCTTTATGGGGCGGATGGCAAGCATGCAGGTTTGGGAGTCCTGAGGTGCCCCTCAACACTTCCAGTCTATAAAAATGGGTCAGTCTCTTCTGATCTTTAGGCCTATCTCTATACCAACTATAGCAATTACTCCTCTTTCAGTTCTGATTATGTTTATAGATATGTTCTCTCTTCTTTGTTAGCCTAGCTACAGGTTTCTCTATTTTGCTTGTCTTCTCCAAGACCCAATTCTTTGTTTTATTGATCTTCTATAGAGTCTTTTTCATCTCTACTTCATCTATTTCTGTGCTTATTTGTATTATTTTCCTCCCTTCCACCAACCTGGGTATTGTTTGTTCCTCCTTTACAGGTGTTTTTTGTATAGGATTACATAGTTTATTGCCTTGCTTCTAAATGTGGGGCTGTATTACAAATATTATCCATCTTAAGACCACTTTTGCAGAAAACCATCAGTTCCGTTAGTCTTTATGTATTTTTAATGTTTCAATTCCTTTTATTTCTAACAGCTAATAAGCAGCATATTATTTAATATCTATGTATTTAGTTTTGTCTGAATTTTAATCTAGTTTCTAGCTTTAAGGTATCACTTTGTATAATTTCAACCTTTGTAGATTAACAATTGGCATGTGACCCAATATATGGTCTATTCTTGAAAAAATTCTATGTGTTCTTGAAAAAAATATAGATACTTTAGTTTTAGGGTGGATTGTTCTGTTATACATATTGTCCTGATTATATCTGATTAGTCTATTTGATCTAACTCGTCATTTAAGGTTATTTATTATTTCTCTGGCTATATATTATTTGATCTGTCCATAGTTGTGAGTATTAAAATCCTCTAGTATTATTGTTTTTTTTAGATGTATTTATTTATGTATTTATTTATGTATTTATTTATTTATAAACAGAAATAGGGTACAAACCAGAGGTGCAGGGGTGGTAAGAGGATTCACCAGAAACAGAGTGAGGAACAAAACAGGCAGATCGACGAAGTACACTGCTGAGGGGAGGAAGGGTCAGGAGAGGGTCTGTAATGCCATGTGGATCACTCCAGGGCCAAGGATCGAACTCACACTGAAACAGCTATGGCTAGCTTGCTGTGCGGTGTCTTTACCAGTTGCACCACCAGGGAGGGCCCTGTGTTGTTTTTAATATCTCTCTTCAGTTCAGTTAGTAACTGTCTTATGTATCTTGGTGTTCCATCATCTAGTCCATGCATATTTATGAATGCTATAGCTTGTTGGATTAGGGTCTTTATGATAATGTAATATCTATTTCTTATGAATCTTTTTAACTATCACTCACTTTACTGTGTAGTCTCAAATTTGTTCTGACTGGTGACATTATTACTCACCTCCATCTCCACATTAAATCATTTTGGTGTCTATCAACTCTATAACTGTTGTTCTATTTCTTTATAATAACCTTTTTATTAAGTCCTTATGTGTGTCTTGGTATTGATAAATTCATTTAGCTTTTCTTTTCAATAATGCTCGTCACCTTTTTCTTCTGTCTTGAATGTTAATCTTGCAGGGTAAGACTCTAGGTCAGAAATCTTTTTTAAACTTTGCAAGCTGAAATTTTTTTATAAGATGTCTTGAAGGCAGTTCCCAGTGACTATTTTATATAACCTACACTATTGTAATTGTTTCATAGCACTTTTCTCTTATTTATTTATTTATTCATATATATTTTTACATCATTGTTCATTTTTGTAGAATGTATGCTTTCTCATCTCAGGTGTTGTCCCCATAAAATTCCTACCACCAACTCACCCATGCATCATTACCATAGTCCCTTGTGCTCTTCCCTCCACTGTTTGATCCCTCTCCCTCCCCTTCTCCTACAGAGTATCTCTGGTTTATAGTTGTCTGTTAATTTCTTTATTTGAGTACTTTAAATATCTCCTGCCATTCCCTTCTTCCCTATAAAAAGATTGCTGACAGTCTAACTGGTATTCCGTTTAAGGCTACCCTTTTCTCTTGATTTTTTTAATATTCTGTTCTTGACATTGGATTTCAACAGTTTTATTTATTATAATGTATACTGGAGTGTCTGTCTGGTATTATTTTGTTTGGAACTCTTTGGGTCTTTAGATGAAGATGTCTGTCCCAGATTGAAATGGTTCTCAGCAATTATGTCCTTAAATAATTTTTTTGTCTTTTATTTTCTCTTTTCCTTCTTAGACCCCTTTATATAGAAGTGATTTCTCTTCAGATTAACTCAAAGGGCTCTTCCACTGTTTCATTTGTTATTTTTTCCCCTCTTTATTCTACTTGTGAATTCTTCAACATTGTGCTTTTAAGCTCACTAATTATCTCCTATTATATATGTCTGCTGTTGAGATACCGTTGTATATTTAAATTTGGTTATAGTATTTTTTTAGAACCCCTAGTTCTAATTGTGACAATCTCATATTTTCTCAGTCTTTATTCTGCTCCTGTTTTGCAGCTTTTTTTTTTTTTTTTTTTAGCAGCACCACTGTTATAACTGTTACCTTAACTTACCTTAACTGCTTCTGCAGGCATATTCCTCAGTTCTTCTGGATTGAATTTATCTCAGGATTTGCGTTTTGTTTTGTTTTGTTTTTTTTTTGCTCTTGCATTTGTGATATATTCTTCCATAGCTTCCTTTTCATATATAGGTTGTAGCAGGTATAAACTTTCAAAGTGTTACCTTTGTACCAGTTCAGTTAGCCAGAGAACTGGTGCCAGTACGGAGTAGAAAGGAACTGGTCAGTAGGGCACCAAAGGGTTATCTCTAGTGACCTTCAAGGATACCATCTTTCTACTATGTTGTAGGTACCAGAGTTATGTGGTGGGGAGCCACAGTGATCCCCTACTTTAGGCCAATTCCTTGGCCTAAATGTCTTATATGGTCCTATGCCAGCATCAACCTCCAGGCTATCTGAGCACTAGATACAGTACAGGGAACACACTGAAGTTGAGACAGGTTCACAAGCTGTGAATTATTTTCTTTGCTTCCCCAGTAAAGAATTTTATCCTGGGGTGCTTGCTCCTGTTTTATGATTCTGGTTAGTGATTGCCTCATTTTTTTGGCCCTGGGTGATGAGATAGGAAGCGTTTAGGAGAATATCACATCCTCAGGCTGTAAATAATAGCCTCTTCCATGAGGATATAAAGGTGACTCAACCGGACTCTGGTTCTGTCAATTCTTGCTCCAGCTATCCTTTAGTGGAAGCCTTAGGCTCTAGCCAGTAATCATCACTCTGCACTCCTGTTTTATAATTCCCCAAGAGTGCAAACTTGTATTGGGTGCCAACTCTGTTCACTCACTTGTCTATTATAGTGTTAGGTCGTCAATTCCCTGATGTGGGTATGAGCCCTGAGTCAACAAACATAGGTAGGGAGGGCCTCAATATGGCAGCTGCTCCTCCCCTCCCTCTAATGGTTCTAGTGACATGGTATACTCAAACACAGGATAATTTTTCCTGTTCTTTTCTGAAAGCCCATTGTTGCTGGTGTACACAATAGTTGTTCTTTTGTCTTTTCGGAGTTACTGGCTTGGTTCTGCTGCACTTTTTGCTAAGTGTAAGATGGAAGAGGGAATAGAAGAGGGAAACCCAGCATCTTGGTGGACGAACTTATCCTTAATTATATGGATCAATTATTCCATTTGGGTTACATTTTTGGTTACTAGCAACCAATAATTCCAAACAAGAAGCAACCTAAATCCAAAGTCTCAAACTATAAATTTTAGAGAATGAGGAATATGAAACTGATAACTTTCAAGATCCCCAAGTGTTAAATAAGAGCAAGACCCTGGTTCTGTGGGACAGATCCAAAGTTTATGGACTGTTATTTCTGGGAATGGGGTCGAGAAATCTGGGATTTTGACAAACTTTTCAAGAAGAGTAGGCTAGGTGGCCATGTATGCATATAGCTGGCTCTACCCGATTAAGCACGATCATAAGAATGTCTGACCATAATAGAAAACTGGCCATCAATACTTGCCTTGCTTCATGTCTCTCATCAATACAAAATAGCTGAATACAAAAAGCAGTGGCATCTCCCTTATAGATGGGGCGGAAGTAGCTGGTCTCCTTAGGCAGCAAGATGGATGCCAAGCTTATGCTCTTGATATGGCCTGCATCATCCACAGATGAAACATGACTGAGTTTTTCTACAACCTAGAATAAGGAGATAGGAAGAACTAAATGGGAATCTTATTCATTTTTTGCAATTTGATAGGCTAGTGGCTATGTCTTCTTCATATTATACTGTTCCTAGGTTAGGTGAGGCTTTCTTATCTGAAATTAATCATCTAATCCAGGCCAACTTTTAAGAAGATGTTCTTAGTATGACAGTCAGCCAATAAAAGGATTGAAATAAGTCCTCATACAAACATCAGAAAATGAGTGGTATCAGTTGACTTTTGAGAGAGAATCTATATTATAACTGCATCGCTGAATAAAGATCAGCACACAAGTATCAAAATACCTCATTCTCCAAAAAAATTTTTTGTCATGATTTTGCACAATTTTTTTTTTAAAGATTTATTTATTTGTGCATACAGAACTGGGGTACAGGCCAGAGGCTCAGGGGCGGCGAGAGGCTTCACCAGAGACAGAGTGGGGAACAGAACAGGCAGATTGACGAAGTACACTGCTGAGGGGAGCAGCGGGCGGGTCAGGAGAGGTCTGCCACACCATGTGGTCACCTCCGGGGCAGGCGGGAATCGAACTCATCCGGAAGCGGCTTTAGATTCTCAGTGCTGTGCTTTAACCCGCTGCGCCACCAGGGAGGGCCGATTTTGCACAATTTTTTGATCTTAGGACTACTCAGGTGATGAGGTGGCACTGGGGGCCACTAAAGGCCTGCAGTCACTCAGAAAGTTAGCACTGAATCTTCAGTCTTATTTTGGAGGCACTTAGGAGGAAAATAATTCATTCTCAGAAATTCTTGGAGTTCCTTTACATCAAATTACATATGTAATAGTAAAGATTAAACATTGGCCATAGTGACAAAGAACTCAGAATTCCTCTTTTTCCCCAAGTTCCTCTTTCCTTCTGGCTAGCACTTTGAACTTTCCCATTTCTTTTGATTTTAGCTCTCTGTTTCTGAATAGAGAAATAGCAGCTTAAGCTGCTATTCTCTTCTTTCATCAGTTTTGGAAATTCTGAATTGGGTATTAACATGGTGCAGTAGAGGGGCTCTCTTGTGGCGCAGGTGTTAGAGTCTCAGTGTTATCAAGCTACTGCCAGCTTCTGTGGCATAAGTTCAATCCCCAATTCAAGCTCCCAGGAAGGGAGCTGGCCCACATGGTACAGCAGACCTCTCTGTCTCACGTGCTGCTCCCCTCAGCAGCGTATTTCAGTCAATCTGCCTGCTCTGCTCCCCACTCTATCTCTGGTGAATCCTCCTGCCCTTTGTACCTCTGGCCTACATCCCACCAGTTCTTGTACACATAAATAAAAAAAAAAAAAAAGGACCCTCCCTGGTGGCGCAATGGGTTAAAGCACAGCACTGTGAAGGCAGCAGCAGTAGCTTCAGTGCAAGTTCGATCGCCAGCCAGCAAGGTGGCCCACATGGTGCAGCAGACTTCTCCTGTGTCACCTGCTGCTTCTCTCAATCTGCCTCAATCTGCCTGTTCTACTCCCCACTCTGGCTCTGGTGAATCCTCTCACTGCCCCTGCACCTCTGGCTTGTCCCCCAGTTCTGTATGCACAAATAAATAAATCTTAATAAATAATATGGTGGGTAGAATTAGCCATCTTACACTGCCTTCTTTCCCACATCCTATCCTCTCAATGTAGTTTTAGTACAATTCTGAATTAAATCAGTTATGAGTTTACACTATTGTGAATATAATTATCACTGTTACTAAGCAAAGAAGTATAATATGACTATGCTTTCATTTGTGTACTTTGTTTTGATTCACTTTGTTTCCAATATTTCCTCCATGCTCTTTGTCAGTATTATTTCCCAAAGAACCAGGCATTTGAGATAACCTCTGACTTTCATTATGTTTCTCATCTTGATCTAGCCTTGCTCTGCCCACAGTATCTCCTATTTTTTTGTTTAGCATCCCTTGTTTCCTGGGTTCCAGATCTCTTTAATGGTCTTCTTGGCTCATGGTCTATGTCCATTCATCACTGGGGTACATTTCTACACCCTAAAATCACCAGTGCTTGGGAGGTAACACTCAACAATTACTGAAAAAGGGGTCGCTTCATTAGGTGATGGGACAAAGACCTGACATCTTATTGGGTGGCCAGTTATAGTGACATTATCTGCAGGCCTTTACTTCAGGCCTGTTAGATTTCGGGGCAATGAGTTTTCTAATCTCCTACACAAGGACCTAACAGTGTCTTCCCTAAACATATGTATGGACCAATTCTCAGAACCTGTGGATATAATGCCTTAAAGGGAAAAGGGACCTTTCAGATGACAAGAGGTTATAAAGATTTTCAGATGAAATTACACTGGATTTTCTGAGTGGCCCAATGAAATCAAAAGGGCTCTAAGAAGAGAAATAGGAGGTTCAGAGAGAAATGAGAAATGCTATGCTGCTATCAAATGGAACCATTACATTCATACCTGTCTTACAAACAGGCTTTGAAGGTGGGAGACGAGGCACATGCTAAGGACCACAAGTGGCTTTAGAAGTTGACCAAGACAAGGGAATGGATTCTCCTATAGAAAGTCCAGAAAGAATACTTGGGTTGTTAGCACAGTAAGGCCTGCTTTGGATTTCTGATCTCCATAACTGTAAGATAATAAACTTGCATTGTTTTAAGCCACAAAGTGTGTGGTAATTTGTGACAGCAGTGATAGCAAAGTAACGCAAACACCTGGCTTCTAGCACTTGGAGCAGATGGCGCAGGGTTCCTCCATTTGAAGATGAGAATTCCATTTATTTCTTATTCGCTTTCTCCATTACACAGCTTCAAAGAGTGCAGGCTGACTATAAATTTGGAGTTGCTTCCATTTAACTTCTCCAATGAAAAGTCACCTGATCAATTCTCTTGAGTGTGGTAGACAAGAATCTAGCATCCTCCACATTCCATATTAGACAAAGAAACCCCTCATTTCAGGCAGGTCCTCGTCCCACCTTCTGCAGAGGCTCCAGTCCTAGTCTTTTGTAGGTGTATGTGGAGAAGTCACACGCTTTCACTTTTCCCCTCAACAGTGCCTGGCTTTTACCTTTTTCAGCTGTGCTAAGCCAGTGTAAACTCTTCCATCGATTTTCTGGATGCTAAACATTTTCAAGTGCTTATCTTCCAATATCTCCTCTCCCAGTTTTGTTGTCTTTGTGGATTTGTGCCCTTCTTATTCCTTCACTGTCATTTCAGTGGGTTTTTCCAGAAGGGAGAGGAGATAAACATGGAGATCAATCCACCTTGTTGACTCAGATGCCCTCTGGGGTTCCAGTACCTCCAATGCAGTGGGGCCCATACTGTCCCTTGTTTGGGTCTAAAAAGGCTACTCTCTTTGAAATATTGGCTGGAAAACTGCTACTGTCTGTTGCATGCTTTATTCTCTCCTTGCTGGGGCCAAGGAGTAAGTGTCCCATTATGGAGTGCCTCAGAAGTGAACTCTGAGTCAAGTTTATTTGGGCAGTGATGCCAGGAAATTCTGTAAGGAGCCTGGGGAAGTGAGGAAAGGAAAGGAAGGACTCCAATGCAGTTTATTGTGTAAATTACTGCTGTGGACCCAATATTGCTGACATCTGCTGGGCACTGTGGAGAGTGCTCCTTAGAGTTGCCCCACACAAGAGGTCAAGGAGCTGAGGTACCACTCCAACAGCCCTTAGTCATTAGCTGAGGGCTGTTCCCCAAACACTCTGACTTGTCTGCTGCTACAGCATCAAGGAAAGTCTAAGCATTTGAAGAATGACTCCTCGGGATGCTAAGGAAGGAGCAGTGCTGGAAGGGTTGGGGAGAGGGGCCCCACAGCATATTCGAAAGTGAGATTCAAAACTAAGCTCTGAGCCCATTTACTGTGCTCTCCTGGCAGCACAAGCACAACCTGCTGCCAGGCCGCATGCGTTCTCCTCTTCTCCAGAGACTGAACACAGAGGGCAGAGGCTGCCCCAAGGGTGAATGAAGTCTGTGGATAGCCAGATCTGTAATTCAGGAGGCGGAAACAGGACATCCCTTTATATTATAAGTCCAATCATTGTTCTCCAGTTTAGCTTTAGTCAGAATAAAGCGGGATTTTATCCCTAGCTGGTTTCTGTGTAGACTTCCTAATTGGTCAGAATCTGAAAAGAGGTGATCTGGTCCTGTCTCTGAAGGCTGATATCTAGAATTAGTGGTCAGAGGATTGTCTCAGGACCTCTTTCCTGGAGATGACTTAACACCCATTCCCATACTCTCTCTCAAGGGCTGTCTAGACTTTACAGGTGTGCTCGTCACTAAGAAATGTGGATGTCTGATTGTGTCAATCTCCCACTTCGAAACCTCAAAACCTTGCACTACTCCTTAGGAAAAGTTCAAAATTCCAAGCAGGGTTCACAGAGCCACATCGTTCCTCACCTGAATCCACAGGTATCACACTCTTTTGTAATGGACAAGCCAGGTTCAACAAAGGACCATAAGTGGAGGTGTGGGCAGGATGAATGGGAAACCAACCACGGATGGGACAATGCTCCAGGAATAGCAACTGGCAGAAGGTGCTAACAACCACTCCTTTATTTATTTATTTATTGCATAGAAGAGCTGGGGTATAGGCTAGAGGAACAGGATGATGAGAGGATCCACCAGTATCAGAGTGGGGAGCAGAGCAGGCAGGTTGAAATACACCACTGAGGGGAGTAGCAGGTGAAACAGGAGAGGTCTGCTGCACCATATATGGGTCAGCTCCCTGGCCAGGGATCGAACTCAGACCATAGTGCTGAGGTACTGAGTAATCCCAAGACCACCAAAAGAGTCCCCAGCATGAAACTTTAAATGGAGGGAGAAATTAGTAGAACCAAACAAGCATATGAGTAATATATATAAAACATGTATAGATCTCTATGAGCAAATATATGTTTATATGACATTATTGGGGAAACTATCCCCAAATATTTTCTCTCTCAAATATTGTTATCTTTGGGAAACAACAGAGGGAAAATCTGTTGACTGAAACTACTGCAAATAATTGATGTAGTACATCTTAATTTTTAGGTCTAAGCTGTGTGAGGGATATATAAAAAAGGGCTAATCCAAGTAGAGTAAGTTAATCAGGAAAGACTTTGTGGAATGGGTCCTTGAGAAGGTGGCACATATGGACAAGTAAAGAAAAGCAGGGAGAGCTGGAGGAGGAACAGGTATCTGATGCAGGAGAAGAGCAGTGAACCTCACAGAGGCCTACCAGGCAGCATATGCAAGGGTCCTGTGTGAGCCTTACCTCCATTTCACCAGTATTTCCAACTTGATCAGGTGATACAAGTTCCTCAAATGCAGCTTCTGTAATTTCCCCCTGCAAATGAAAATGGCAAGATATGAGGATTAATCAATATCAACAGTGACAAAGAGCCTGAAACCTTGGCGTGAACAATCTGGGTTAAGATCCAGGCTGCACACTTATAACATTGGAAAAGTTATGAGCCTGTTTCCTCATCTATGAAAGGGATAAGAACAGCATCTCATAAGGTTGTTAGGAGGATTACAAAAGGATCAATGGATAACGAGACAAATAGAAGCTCAGCAAGGGCTGGCATCTCCTAATTCTCTGCAGAAGTTAATTATGACTTCATTATTCTTACTCTTCTGTATAAACACAGACGGTGAGCTAGGTTTGTTTTTGTGTTTTAATAAATTTATTGAGGAATATTTGACAGATAATTAACTGCATATATTTAAAGTGCCCCTTTTCAAAAGTTTTGTATGAAGCTATAAGATAGCACCACAATAAAATAACAAAACTGTACATCATTCCCAAAAGCTTTGTGTTTCTAAGTGCCCCACCCTTCCAGACCTTGCATAGGCAAGCACTGATCTGTTTTGAGTCACTGAAGCACACACATTGAGTCTATTTCTGGATCTTCTATTCTGCTTCATTAATCTATTTGTTGACCTTGGCATCATTACTTCAGTGTCTTTTTAGGTATTGAAGTATTTAAGAGTATTAGGAGTATATACATACACACACATGAAAGATTGCATTAGTTTCTGGTGTACAATATGATTTTCTACTCACGTATATATTGTGAAATGATCACCCCCAAAAATCATCAACATGGTTGAAATTTTTTTTGTAGTGAGAAGTTAAGATTTACTTTTTAGCAACTTTCAAATATGTAATACAGTATACTAACTATAGTCACCATGCCTCACATTCCATCCCTCTGATTTAATTTATAATTGTGTGTACTTTTTAACTCCCTTTATACACTTCACTCTGCCCCAAACAACCCCCCCACCACCACCCCACCACTCCTATTTCCAGGAACCATCAACCTAAACTCTCTCTCTAAAGTGCCTGGTCTTTGTTTTGTGAATTTTACATGTAAGTGAGATCAAATGACTTTTTTTCCCCCTTCCTCTGTATGACATAGTCACAAAGGCAAGGTTTCATCTTTTTTACAACTGAGTAACACTTCACTTTATCTTTCATTATCCATTCATCCATTAATGGATGCTTAGGTGTTCTCCTATATTGCTTCAGTGAACATGGGGGTACAGATTTCTTTCTTTTGGAGATAGTGTTTTCATTGCATAACAACCCAGAAGTTGTATTGCTAGATCATATGATAAACCTACTTTCAGTTTTTTGAGGTACTGCCACTCTGTTTTCTATAACAGCTGTACCATTTAAAATCCCACCAGCTGTGTACAACAGTTCCTTTTTTCTACTTTCTATTCTTTATCTTGTTGATGATACGAATAGGTGTGAGGTATATCTCATTGTGATGATTAGTAATAATGAGCCAAATCTCATGTTTGCTGTATCTTTTTGGAAAAAAAATATATTCAGATCTGCCCATTCTTTAATTGGAGTGTGTGTTTTTTGCTGTATGTATGTGCATATGCTGCTATTTAGTTGTATGAGTTCTTTATATATTCTGGATTTAAACACATTATTAGATATACAACATAGGATTATAATATAGGATTGCAAATATTTTATGATATTGATTAGGTTGCTTTTTCATTAGGCAATGGTTTCTTTACTGTGAAGAAGCTTTTTAATTTGATGTAGCCCCACTTATTTATTTCTGCCTTTGTTGCCTTTGCTTTTGAGTCAAAAACAAAAAGTCACTGCCAAGACCAATGTTAAAGAGCTTACCACTTTTTTTTAAAAAGACTTATTTATTTATGCATACAGAACTGGGTACAGGCCAGAGGTGCAGGGGCAATGAGAGGATTCACCAGACAGAAATGTAACCAATTTTTATATTAATTTTGCTAAATTTGTTACAGCTTTTAGTGGAATCTAGAATTTTCTATATATAAAATATATCATTTGTAAGCAATGAGGATTTTACTTTTCCTTTTCATTTTTCTTTCTCTTTCTTGCCTATTCACTCTGCCAACTCCCAATATGACATTGAATAAAAGTTATGAAATAGGACATCCTTGCCTCGTTACTGCCCTTAGAGAAAATGTTTTAAACTTTTTACCATGATTATGATTTATGATGTCAGCTGTAGGGTTGTCACATGCAAGCTTTACTATGTTCAGGCACATTACCTCTGTATCCACTGTTGGGATCTTTATCATAAATGTATGTTGAATTTTGTCCAATGCTTTTTCTGCATCTATTGAAATGATCATGTGGTTTTTATCCTACATTTTGTTAAAGTGGTATACAGCACTTGATTGATTTGTGGATGTTGACCCATCCTTCCATCTCTGGAATATATCCCATTTGATCATGGTCTATGCTTCTTTGATTGTGTTGCTGAATTCAAAATGCTAACACTTTGTTATTTTTTTGCATATATGTTCATCACAGAAAATGGTCAGTAATTTTCTTGTGTCATCCTCATCTGCTGCATGTATCAGTGATGCAGGTCTCATAAAATGAGTTTCAAAGTGTTCTCTCCTCTTCCATTATTTGGATGAGCTTGAGGATTGGCACTATTACATTGTCTTAATTGCAAGAAGTTTATAAGTCTTGAACTCAATAGAACTACTTCCATAATTTTGTTCTATTTCAAAGTTTGTTTTTGTTTTTTTTTCTTTCCTGTTTTAGGTCCTTTCCATTTCCATATGAATTTTAGAATCAATATTGCAACTTCTGTAAAAATTCCTCCTGAAATTTTAGCAGGGATTGCATTAATCAATTTGGGAAGAAATGCCATTGACAATATTGAGCCTTCAAAACCATAAACAAGAGATAGCTTCCCATTTATTTAGAGCTTATTTCATTTCTCTCAGAAATGTTTTATAGTTTTCACTGTACAGATCTTTAAACATCTTTGTCTTATTTCCAAGTATGTTACATAATATATACATAGTATTTATTTTAACTTCTGATCACTATGGTTGACTGGTTCACTGTTATATAAAAAAAAATTGACTTTGGCACATTTTTGTTATCTTTAGCAACTGCCTAAATTACTTATTACTTCATCAACTTCTGTATATTTTGTAGATGTATCTGCTAATAAAACACAGTTTTATTTCTTTCTAATACAGGTGACTTTTCTTTTTCTTGTCTTTTTGCACTTAAACCTACAGTATAATTTTGAGTAGAAATGGTGAGATCTGACATTTTTGTCTTGTTTCTGACATTGGTAGGAAAGCAGTGGTGATATTAGCTATAAGTTTTTCAAAAATAGTATCTATCACATTAAAGAAGTTTTTTATTCCTAGTTTTCTGAGAGTTTTTATGAGGAGGAAATGCAGAGCTTTCAAATGTTTCCTACATTTATAGTATAAATCTATCAATTTTCTTTTTTAGCATGTTAAATTGGTGAATTATCTTGATTGATTTTCTTATGTTAAACCAACCTTGAATTCCCAATATAAACTCTATGCAGCAATGATGTATAATCTTTTTTATATATTGATTCAATTTACTATAATCATTATTAAAATTTTAACATTGATTTTTCTGGAGCTATTGATCTGTAGTTTTATGTTCTTGTAGTGTCTTTTTGTGAAAGAAGTGATTAAATGAATTGAATCCCTTAAAATATATTAAGACTAAAATATGATTTACTTTGGCAAATGTTTCCTGTGTATTTGAAATTGTGTATTCTGATAATGTTGGGTAGAGAGTTTTCAAGTGCCACTTAAGTCAAATTGGTCAGTAGTGTTCTGAAAATTCTCTATATATTTAGGGATCTTCTGTTTTCTTGGTATGACAATTATTAAGAAGAAAATATAAAAATTTCCAAATATAGTTGCCTTTGCAGTTCTATAAGTTTTTGGGGCATAGTTCTGATATTGAATGCATAATGGTCATTCCTCTTAACCTTGTTAAGTATTATTATTCTGAAATCCATTTTGTCTAAAATTAATATGGCAACTACAGCTTCTTTTTTTTTTAGTGGTATTGGAAAGGTATTTTTTTTTCAATTCTTTTAATTTGACCTATTGTATCTTTACATTAAAGTGCATTCTGTAACCCATATCACTGAGTCTTACTGTTTTTATTCAATGTATATTTGATTTATATGTCCTTTAGTTGGGATATTAAGAGCATTGCATTTAATGCAATTATTGATATAGTCAGGTTTAAGCCTGTCATCTGGTTATTTGTCTCATATTTGTTCCATATGTTTTTTATTTTCTTTTTGTCATTCCTTTTGGATTAATTGCATGTTTTTATTATTCCACTTATTTCTCCTGCAAACTGTCAGTGCAGGCAGGTGTAACTATGAATTTGATTTGCAAACTTAGTGGGTTGTTTTTAGAGTTCACAGTATCCATCTTGCAATTCTGGTAGTCACATTATACTTCAGGTATAGTACAAGAAACTAGGCCTCCCTAGTTTAAGGTGTTAAAGTCTCAGTGCTATCAAACTATTGCCAGCCATGATAACATGAGTTTGATCCCCATCCAGAGTGCTGATCCATATGGCACAGCAGACCTCTACTGTCTCAACCGCTGCTCCCCTCAGCAGTGTATTGCAGTCAATCTGCCTGTTCTGCTCCCCACTCTGTCTCTAATCAATGGATGGGTAAGAAGTAAAATAAAGAACGGACAAAATTCTACTCTGCCCTGTATTCTTAACTATAGCTGTGATGTTCTAATCTGTTAAAAATACTGAGTCCTGTGTTCTTCTGGCCCCTCTCTTCCTAATAGTAGTATTATAGGGCCTTTTCCATATCAGATGTTAGAACTTTCCAATAATGACCCAGTACCAGAAAACACCCCTGACCCTGACTTCTCAAATAGCCCCTAGTTCATTTGGGAACTCCAGACCTGGCTGGTGATCTCGGTTACCTGAGTGCTTGTCACAGCTTTTGGAGAGACAGACTTCTCCACTGTTTCCTGGGAATCCTGGCTGTTACTCCTGAGTTCAGTATCTTTACAAAAAGGAGTGGCATAAGAACAGAAAACAGATGTTAAATATCTGCAGAGCCATAGAAAATCAGAGATAACATGGCAACATTTTTTTTAAAGATTCATTTTTTGTGCATACAGAACTGGGATACAGGCCAGAGATGCGGAGGGTGAGAGGATTCACCAGGGACAGAGTGGGGAGCAGAACAGGCAGATGGAGTTAGTACACTGCTGAGGGGAGCAGCGAGCTGGTCAGGAGAGGTCTGCAACGCCATGTGGATCTCCTCCGGGGCAGGCGGGGATCAAACTCATGCGGAAGTGGCTTTAGCTTCTTAGTGCTGTGCTTTAACCCACTGCACCACCAGGGAGGGCCCGGCAACATGTTTTTAAACTACAGTGCAGCTAAAGAATTATGTTACCGAGGACGGTACCACAGGAGAGGAGCAGGGTCTTTGCAGCCCACCTCAATTCTGAACTCTCTGTGCCCTCCTCTACACAATGCAAATAAAATGATACCTGGCCCTATGGGAGCTGTGGAGAAAAATGCTGCCAGGGCTTGGCCCTCAAGGGGCACCACCTTTGCCAGTTATTGAGCTGTGTGATTCTTTCATAGTAGCCTCTTGGACATGTACAAACAACCAATTATCAAGTCTCTGGATGGGAGGCTTTGTGAAGATTTTAAGACATTAGATAGAAAAGACCACAATTAGCTGTGCCCATGTCAAATCTCAATGTCAAAAACAAAAGCTGCTTTCTCTTTGTTTGAAAAGCATGCAAATATGTGATTTTTTTTTCTTAAAACTAAGGATTCTTGCTTTGATAACTGTTTGTGTGTCCTGCTTTCATTAAAAATTAAGATAGAAAATTGTTTTCCCACATTGTTACATAAGTTCTTTTTCTCATCCTCCTTCTCTTTCTTTTCCTTCTGCTTTCTTCTCTTCTTTTTTCTTTGTCCCTTCCTGTCTTTTCTCTTCCAGACTTTTCCCACCCCTCTCTCCCTGCCTCTACCAGATCCTTTCTGGCCATCCTATACTTGTTCTGTCGGGATTCCTGCCCTGCTCTCTACCTACAGTATATGGGTCTGAGCACAGAACAGTCCTCAGATGCTCTGCCCAGTGGCTGCCCCTTCCTGGATATGTCATCACAGATGGAGAAGGGACTTGAGTCTACTGGAAGCCCCAAAGGCAATCCTATCAACACTGTCGTCTGAGTTCAGAAGAGGCTATGGAGAAAGACTAGACCTCTGTGTCCTCGCCCACTGTGTTCTTTTAAGCACCAGCTGGGGCAACCTGCAGCTCCCTCTCAATCTTAAATCCCTCCAGCCTTTCTCAGGTGAATGAAATTCTAAGGAAAAGTTAGATACACCAAGGTGATGTAAAGGGCATACGTAGGAAAGTTCAAAATGTTCAAAGTTCAATGACAAAGAATTGCATCCCAGCACAACAGGCTGATCTTGTGGAGAAAAGAGGAAATAAGAATAACTCCCTCTTCTTAAGTTGTATTTCAGTTTTGAAAAACATTGTTTTTTCTATTTTTAAGTTTTTAATTTGAAGGACTATAAAAATTAGACTAAAAGGAAATAAGAACTTTACTATACATGTATCTCTTTTTAAATTAGGATAAAATTACTAAAAAAAAAAGCTCAGAAATCTTGAAGAATGGAGAAGATTTACAATGAACTAATAATCCTGGTGACTTAACTGTCTGTAGTCTAATGTTCATGAGACAATTACCAAGGAGGATGACTAATTGTCTTGACTAAACTGTCCTGGGGTGTTGCACATTGTTATTAAGCAGCTGCTGTGTTTGTCCCTGGAGGTGGCTGCATTTCAGCACTGGGCAAGGTGATGCTATAGCTCTCTTTCCGGTGTCTCTGGGGTTTTGTGAAGTTTAATTAGTTAATGTTCCTAATGTGCCCTGAGATCCTCAAATGTGAGGTGCTATTGCAGAGGAAAGTTAAGGCAGTGGTATTATATAACACACAACTAAAAACATGACTGAGGCTGCAGATTTAATTGTTATTTCATTGCTTATGCTACCTAAGTAGCTTAGAGTTCATGAACTAGTGGTTTATTCTAGTGGGAGTGAAAGCACAATTTGCTAAGACTTTCTCTGTAATACTGCTTATCAGAAGTGGGTTTATCTAATAAAGCTGGATATTGGGGTCCTTTGTCCAGGTCTCTCTCAAGGCACAACACCTGTCAGTGTATACATAACTTTACATGTTCTTTTCTAAAGAGGACACCCAAATTGTACAGACTTTAGTTCCCACAAGACCTGGCTCTATCCTGATCTTTATCAAATGGTAATAATAAATAAGGAAAGCAAAATAATATACTTTCAAGTTATAAAGAATAAGTATACAATCCAGTGTTTTTTATACTTATTTAAAATATCAATCAAAAATCCTAACAACACATTTATTATGTAAGTAACTGATTCTAAAGGAATATATATAAAGAAATAGTTGGTCAAAATATTTAAGAAATAAGAACAGAGAGTCAAGTCTCCTAGTGAAAATTAACATACTTTATAAAGTCATACCAATTAAACAGTGGATTATCAGAACAGGAATGCAACAGAAAGGAATCCAGAAATGAGCCAGACAGGTACAATGGGTTGATTTACGTCAAAAGTAAATTTCAAATTAGTGGGAAAAGAATAAAATATAAAATAAACAGATATTGCTAATAACAGGGGGGAAAATTAATTTGAACTTCTGTTTCATGTCATACAAAAAAATAATTTGCAGATCAATAAACAATCCAAAGCTTTTTTAAGTACTTTGACATTACTAGAAGAAAATGATGAAAATAGCTCTATCATCTTAGGGGTGGAAAAATCATTCCTGAAGGACTGTAAGGTATATGTCATTAAAGAAAAATACTGATATCTTTGACCACATAAAAAATCTAAAACTTCTGGGCCCTTCCTGGTGGCACAGTGGGTTAAAGCACAGCACTGAGAAACTAAAGCCACTTCTGCATGAGTTTGATCCCCACCTGCCCCGGAGGAGATCCACATGGCGCGGCAGACCTCTCCTGACCTGCCTGCTGCTCCCCTCAGCAGTGTGCTTCATTGATCTGCCTGTTCTGCTCCCAGCTCTGTCTCTGGTGAATCCTTTCACCGCCCCTGCATCTCTGGCCTGTACCCCAGTTCTGTGTGCATAAATAAATAAATCTTTAAAAAAAAAATCTAAAACTTCTGTCTACCAAAAGTATCCTAAAAAGTTTTTTTTAAAAAAAAAAAAGACATTTATTTATTTATATCTAGAAGAACTGAGGTACAGGTTAAAGGTGTGGTGGGTGAGAGGATTCACCAGAGACAGAATGGGGAGTAGAACAACCAGATCTATTGAAATAACATTGCTGAGGGGAGCAGTGGGTAAGACAGGACAGTTCTGCTGTATCATATGTGGGTTAGCTCCCTGGCTGGGGATCGAACTCAGAACTCAGGCCTTAGTGATGACTATACTGAGACTTAACCCGTTGGCCAACAGGGAAGTTTTGTTGTTGTTTTTTTTTTTTTACTTAAAAAAAAAGTAGATACATGGAGAAAACATACTACACTAATAATTCTATGCAAAGAAAAATAACCCAAAAGACAAAAGAAATTAATGAACTGGAAATTTAAAAGACCAAAAGCATAGAAAAAGTGTCAATCTCTACTATTCAGAGAACAAAAAAGTGCTCTCTTTTGCACGCCCATAGTAATGAGTACTGGAGAGCTAGGAAAGTTCTGGAGGATGGTAACCAGTATAGTCAAGCAAGAACAATGTGGGGAATATAACTTGTTGAAATACTTGCAAAGGCACTAAGGACACATGCACAAGGATGTTTACTGCAGAACTCTTCGTAATAACAAAATAATGGAAACAAGCTGGATGCCTTTCTGAGGATAAATGCGGCACATACAGTAGAATACTAACCAGAAGGTAAAAGACGTATCCTAGACCTAAGCATATCAACATTAGTTTTCAAGAAGTTGAGTGAAAAAGCAAATTTTAAAGTATCAAGTACCTGTACAAAACCATTTATATATATAAAAAACACTCATATAAAAGTATAAAAAAAAGGTCTGGAAGGATACATTCTAAAGTTAGATCAATGGATATTTCTGGAAAGGAGATGAAAAATCAGAATTGTAACGTGACCAAAAGGAACTCAGCCTTAACTGCATTATTCAAATTCTAAAGGATTTTCATGTAATTAAGATTTAAGAAAATCTAACTATACAAGTAAATTTTTTACCTCCAAGATATTATAGTTATTTTGTTTAGTGTTTCAATAATATGGATAATTCATTCACTTATTCATTTCAAATTTTATATTTCCCACCTACCATCTATTAGACAATAGCATTCTTTTTTTTAATCTTTTTCAATTTTTTTTAAAAGATTTATTTATTTATTCGTACAGAACTGGGGTACAGGCCAGAGATGCAGAGGGTGAGAGGATTCACCAGGGACAGAGCGGGAAGCAGAACAGGCAGATCGACGAAGTACACTGCTGAGGGGAGCAGCGGGCGGGTCAGGAGAGGTCTGCCGCGCCATGTGATCACCTCCGGCGCAGGCGGGGATGGAACTCTTGCAGAGGTGGCTTTAGTTTCTCAGTGCAGTGCTTTAACCCTCTGCGCCACAAGGGAGGGCCCTCTTTTTCAATTTTTTAAAATGTATTATAATTAATTTATTTTTTACATCATTCTTCATTTTGTGCATTTTTCCATCTCTGTTGTAATCCCAATGGGCTTCCCACTACCAATTCACCCATGTGCCAATACCATAGTCTTGTGTGCTCTTCCCACTCCAGTTTTTATTCTATTCCCCTCTCCACTCCCATAAAATATCTCTGGTTTTATGGGGTGGAGTGAGGAATGGGATCAAAAAACAATGGAGGGAGAGAAGTGCACTAGACAGTGGTGATGGCACACGGGTGATTTGGTGGTGGGACGTCCACAGGGATTACAACTGAGATGGAAAAATGCACTATATGATGTAAAAATAAACTATTGTATTATTTTTTTA